TCGAGGTAAGCACATCGACATCAAGTTCTTAGCTATTAGGGAGCGTGTCAAGAACAAAATTGTGGTTGTTGAACACATTAGTACTGAGTTGATGTTAGAAGATCCCTTGACTAAAGGCATGCCTCCATTTAAATTCAAGGATCTTGTTAAGAAGATGAGACTTTCGCCCACTTTGTAATTTGTATATACATTCAGTATTCAGTTTTAATGAAATTCTTCTGCATTTTGACATTCATCTCATTAAGTGTGCACACCTTTATTTTGTTGAGATAATGTACTTTAGTTGGACTTGAAATAAACATAGGGTTTGTTTCATTAAGTTTTTTATTTCCTAAATTAAGTGCTCGAGGGCGGTTTACATTTGATCATAATGGATGCTACTCAATTTAAGGAGGACATATCACTATGATCGGTGTTTTTCTGTTTTTGGGTTATGGAGTTTGCACCAAGTGGGAGAATGTAACATTTTCCTAATTACATTATTATAATATTATGTCAACTTTATAATAATTAAGGTAATCTGTTATGTGGTGCAATTCTTCCATACATACTCCTATCAATTAAGGTAATGATTGATTGTAAAAGATAAGGAGTGTGATTAGGAAGCGATTCAGTTACCATATTGATGGCATATGGTTATTATATAAAGAGCCCTTAATAGTCCTCTCACTGCTTAACATTCATTCCTCATACACCATCTAGAGAGGGTTGAGAAAGTGAGAGAAACATATATTGTTACTCTGCCGCAGCAGTCCTGTGACAACGCAACCTTCATCAATCGGAAGCTATGGCTGGAGGTTAGTACTTAGTACTTAAATAAAGATCCTGTCACGTATTTAAGTTCCTACGTGATTTATATGCTTACATTGCCAAAATGTGTGATCGGTACCCTCGTGTACTATGAATTGGTGGAATTGTTGGTGGTCGTTGGTGGGGGACGACGGTCCCAGGAAGGAAAAGGTTGGACTCAGAAGTACAGGGGTCCTGGAGGTAATGGTTGGAACTAGCTATAAGGTTGGGGATAGCCATAAGGTTGGAACCGGGCATAAGGAAGGAATATTGATTCGTGATGAGTGATGTCACGAAGGCATGTGTGCCGTTGTGTGTTTCTCTGTTCGTGATGTGTGATGTCACGAAGGCATGTGTTGCCAGTGTGTGTCTCTTATTTCTCTTGTGTTGAGCATGTCGGGTGATATTCTACTGGGTGATGGTAGAATATACCTTGAGCCTTACTTATGCTGTCGTTGTTTACTTCTTGATGTATCTTGGGATGTGTTCCCTTATCCTTATTGTGGGAGATATAGAGTCTTTGTGGTTGACTTCTATCATTGGCTTTGAACTTATATATACAGTATTCCGTTTCGAAATGATTTTGTATATACTATCTATCTATATAAGCTATTGACATGTATTGGTTGGTTACCAGCATCATTCGCTGACCGGGCGTCGTCCCATTTATTTATGTGCTTTTCAGGTCCCAAGTAGTGGCGAGCGTGATCTAGTGATGGATAGTGTAGATCCCTCAGACATTATTAGCTTTGTTTTGGGCCAGTGAGCCTTTTATGTCAAACAGTAGTTTGTTGTTGTTTTAACCTTGTCCATTGTTAGACTGATAATGTGGATGTTGTTCTCGCCTGTGCGTTCACCTTAGCGTGGACGTGGCATAACATTCATCGTTTTCCAGTTTATATAGTTAGACTTCCGCTGTGTATGCTTATATTGTGGTTAGATTATCTGCATAGTTAAGTTTAAATTGGCATGGAAATCGGGGGTGTTACAGAGTTAGAAGGGAAACGAAACTAGAAGCAAGATAGGTGAATGGATGAAAAAGGATGTTGAAATCTTACTGTGCTTTCTTCTTGTGATTGTAGAGCTCAAAGATGTGGGAAGAAAAGTGTGGAATTGGGAAGAAATGGGAGGCTACTATTCCTTTTATATGGGTGCAAAACCTTAGGAAGATACTCAATGATTGGTGGAGGGTAAAAGAGTAAATTGTTGTTTGTTCTAAAAGCATCAGGCAAATTAAAGATTTTGGAATAGAGTGGTTCACCATGCTTCATGAACTCGTGCATGTGTTCCACATGCTGTGCATATCGCGACGCTGTAACCAGTTCACTCTCTACTCCTATAAATACTACCTTTTAAAAATCATCTATTTTCCAACTACCAAAAATGTTGAAATTTTTGAAAATTCATAAAGTTTAGTTTCTTTTTTATTCGAAACTAATAGGGGTCACGTTGCTCCGGCATTAAAAAGCTAAGCTGCCTGAAACCATTCATACAGTAGCAGCATCTCAATGTGCTTCATTTGCATCGTGCATGTGCTTCTTCAGGGCCGGCCCTGGGGCATGGGCAGGCTGGGCCCCTGCCCAGGGCCCATCCCCAGAGGGGGCCCATAAACTAAGATATAATATATATTGTAATATTGTATATATTAGTTAGTATATATTAGAAAAAATTATTTAATTATTTTTGACTTAATAAATTCTTTTGGAAGTCGAATAGATGGAAGATTCAGGAAGAATCGAAGAAAAGAGGCATCAACGCATCGCAAATCGCAACCATTCAATACCTCTCCGCCATAGCAACCGTTCAATTCCTCTCAAGCTAAATAAGAATGGGCAATTGAGGGGTGTGGGGGGCCGTTAGGGTTGGGGATTCAACCTTTTAGGAGGAGGAGAATGGGCAGTTGAGTGAATCGACAATCTACTTTCATAATCCACAAATAACAAATCTTCTCGGCGGTCAACCGGTCCTGATTCTGTTCGCGGCGCCTTCACCACTCCGGTCTACAATTGTAATTTGCAAAGGTATTTTAATTTTTGTGATTTGGGATTTTTTTTTTGAAAGCTATGATTTAGGAATTAGGCCGTATTTGTTAATTGTATTGTTGAAAAGTCTATGATTTGGCCATTTAGAAATTGAGATTTGCATAATTGTAGAATGCACTGCATTAGGAATTTGTAGAATTCTGATTTCTGAAACCTCTATAAATTATTTAAGAATGATAATTTTTAATTGGGATTTTCATGGCTTAGTTTGCAGATTAAATAATTATCCATTTATCCAGAATTCCAAATTCTTAATTGTTAATTGAAGGGAAAATTGTAAAAAATGCCATTCTATAATATGCCAATTATCAATGTCACCCCTGAATTATGAGTGGTGTAAATGTTTCCCCTCAATTATCAAAACAGTGCACATATAGCCCCTCCCGTAACGGACATGTGGTTCCCCGTTAGTGTACGGCACCGTTAAGTCAGAGTAAATATGTAATTTAGTTGTTTTTTCCCTCTCTCGATTCGAAGTACCAGCGATGGACAGCGGTGGGGAACCACAAGTCCATTACGGGAGGGGCTATATGTGCACCATTTTGATAATTGAGGGGCAACATTTACATCACTCATAATTCAGGGTCGGCATTGATAATTGACATATTATAGAGGGGTATTTTTTATAATTTTCCCTTAATTGAAATATTGAATAAGCTGTATTGTTAATTGGTTAAGCTGTATTGTTGTATCTATTCCTTCTCAAAGTAAAATGGCATTTGTCAGATGCCAAAGTGATTTTTTGGTTTAATTTACTAATTACTTTGCTGTAGTGATTCATATTGTCTCTTTTTAATCTTTGTGGATTGCTCCGGTTGAATGTTGATGTCCAAATATTAATGGGGATTTATTCGGAATTAATTGGTCTGTTATAATTTTATTTATTTATGCAAAATATTAATCTTTATTTTTGTAGGGATTGAATGACATGAATATTTTTGTATTTAAAAAAATTGTTGAAAATTTTTTAATCTTATTTCATATTAGTTGACATCATGATTTTATTAGTGTTTTTAAATTTAAATTTAAATTTTTTATACAGGGGCCCTTTTTTTCAATTTCACCCCGGGCCTATAAAATGTTTGGACCGGCCCTGACTTCTTCTAACTAGTAAACAAAGAAAGAGTAATATATTAATTAGCACTATCCCTGGCATCCCATGTGCATAAAAGATATGCAAGAGTGATTCTACCTAGTATACTGTCTCCACTTGAACATTTCGAGACTGTACTCTCTCCACTTTATATTAAGGGAAAATGACACTTTTTCCCCCTGAGTTATATACTTATAGCACATTTTCCCCCTGAATTATTCATGTAAGCACATTACCCCCCTCAATTATTTTAAAAGTGGCGGTTTTCCCCCCTAATATATTTTATTGACATTTCTACCCTTAAAGTAGACATTTTATTTAGGGAAAATAGCACTTTTTCCCCCTATGTTATATACTTATAGCACTTTTTCCCCCTCAATTATTTATGTAAGCACATTAGCCCCCTCAATTATTTTAAAAGTGGTGGTTTTCTCCCCTAATATATTAAATTGACATTTCTACCCTTAAAGTAAACATTTTATTTATTTTACTTCTCCAACAAATTATTGCGTATATGTAGCGATTACCACGGTTCAGTTTGGAACATGAACCGCCCATTCCAGTTCGTGATTTTAATAAACTCTAAATATCGCGTTTTGATTATAAATTGTAATTGGAATATTTTGGTTTGGTTACTATAGTATCTGGTTTGAACCAAATTATAGTAATAATTTATTGGAGAATAAAAATAAATTAAATATTTATTTTAAGGGTAAATATGTCCATTTAACATTTCAGGGGGAAAAAGAGCCACTTAAATAATTGAGGGGGAAAAAGTGCTATAAGTATATAACATAGGGGGAAAAAGTGCCATTTTTCCTTATATTAAAATATAAAATTGATGGGTACCGTTAAGGCATAAAACAGGTGCAAGAGAGATAATTTTAGAATAAATTTATAATTTAAGAGCTTTTATAGATCAACGTACCTTCTTAATTACTCTAAAACAAGCAGATCAGATCAATCAGACTTAAGAGAGAGAGATTGCTAAAAGCAATTGCGCGCACTTCTTCTTCTTCTTCTACATTATTTTCTTACTCAAAAACCCAGAATTGAAGTTGCAGAGAGTTTGAGAAATGGCTTGTGTTGCATTGACTTCTCTCATGGCTACCATTGAGCTTGAATTTTTGCATCCCAACCACAGAGTGTCTCTTCTTCATGATGATGATAAGCCATTGAAATCTCTGTTTGAGAAGCTTTCTTCATTGGAAGCCTTTGTGAAGAAGGAATACCACAACGCAGTGGGTGGTGCTCCAATCCGACGACATCTGCTAAACAAAATCAGGGACTTTGCACTCAAAGCAGAAGATGCCATCGAAATACAACTCACAAACATCCTTCAACTTCAACAAAAAGCATATGAAGGGGAACTCCATCTCCATCTCTATCGAAGCTTGCAACAAGTAGCAAAGGAGGCAGAAGAGTTGCTGAAAGTTATCAACAATCAAGTTGAAGCGGCCAACCATCATTCTCATCCGTTGATTGCTTGGTCAGAAGCTGCAGCTTCGCACCCTCACAACATTATTGCGTCGTCGGGTGGATCCTTGCAATGCTCTCCACAGTTTGAGGAAGAGAAGGAGGATATAATAATGGTTTTTGATGACTATTACTTTACAGTGACAAGGGGATTTATCTTTAAACATAGTGTAGTCACAATTGTTGGAGCCCCAGGCATTGGAAAGACTACTCTTTGTAAAAGACTGTATACAGATGAAAGGGTTGTATCACATTTCGACATTCAAGCTTGGATTACTATTCCGCCAAGATACAATGGGAATGTGCAACAACTACTGTGCCACCTTCTTCAATCAATAAGGCCAACCCTCAATGAAGAAATTCACATGGGAAGCACTGTTTCTCAACTAAAAGAACAACTGCACAGACACTTGAAGAAATGCAAAACATATTTAATTGTTTTGGATGATGTCCCTAACACTCTGCTTTGGGATGATATCCACCAATGTTTTCCGGATGATTCAAATGCAAGTCGGATATTGCTAACCACTATTTTCAAGGATGTGGCTGAGTACATCACCAAAGATTGGGATATCATCTTGAGCCTGCCTTACCTAAGTGACAATGACAGTTGGGTTCTATTTTCCCACAAATTTTCTCTTAAACATCATATGACACCTAAATTTGAAGAAATTGCGAAGCATCTTGTTGAGGAATGCAGAGGATTGCCGCGCTCAATTGTTACAGTTGCAGACCGTCTATCTAAATGCAACTGCACATTGAAGGAATGGAAGAAGATCGAGAAAGAATTACTATCATTGGGAGTTCTACATAGAGATACACAACAATCAAGTAAGCTTACCGACATTTACAATCGTTTGCCACAACATTTAAAAGTTTGTTTTTTATATTTTGTGGTCTTTCCAAAACACAGTCAAATCAATGTGAAACATCTTATTAAGTTATGGATTGCTGAGGGATTTGTGAAGTCACTGAGGTGTCTGCCATTAGAAGATATAGGTTACATGTATTTAAGGGCTCTTAGAAGTAGAGGACTAGTCATAACAACAGATAAGTACGATTTCAGACCAAAGACTTGTTCCATACATATTGACATGCATAGCTTTTGCGTACGAGAAGCTCAAAAAGAAGGTCTTTTATGTGTAGCAAATACTCAACAATGTATTGGATGGTCATTAGACATAGTCGCAAATTCATGTCGCTGGTTAAGTTTACGGTCACATAGTTTGGACTATCATGTGTTGTTTAGTTCAAATATCCATCGCTCCCTTTTCACCTTTCTGGGTGATTCTGAAAGGTTTATATCTCTCAAACATTTAAGAATTTTAAATTTGAGTGAATCTCTCATACTTAAAAGAGTGTCATTATTGCCCTTAAGGAATTTAGTTTTATTAAGATATCTTTCCATACCACAATGGTTTGAGAGTTTTGATGATGTTGTATCAAGTAATTCAAATTTGCAAACACTTACTATTTCTGGCATTGATGAATCAACACTTGGAGCACTTACTCTTCATTTATTGCCATCCAAAATTTGGGAGTCGCAACATTTAAGGCATCTCATACTTGGGGATATGTATATGATAGATGCTCCAAACATGGTTAAAGAGCATTTGCAAACATTAGTTTGTGCAATGCCAATTCATTTCAGGAAAAAAGAAGTGTATTATTGCAGGTTTCCAAGCATAAGAAAACTGGAAGTTGTGTATAAAGATGTCTTAGTGCCTGGTTGTAGCGGTGGGCGATGTTGTAGAAACCTTATCATCATTCTGGAGAATTTTGAGGATTTATTGAGGTTGGAGACTCTAACGGTTATGGTTCCTATTGGTAGTATAACCTTTTTAGAGCGAGTTGGTTTTCCTGCAAAATTGAAGAAGTTGAAATTGAGTGGGACTAATTTTCCAGTGAAGATTTTAACGGTAATTGGGCAGTTACCGAAGCTTAAGGTGTTGAAACTAGAGAATGCTTTCTATGGCAGAGTATGGGAAGTGGTTGAAGGAGGATTCCCTGAATTAAAACAGCTGGAGGTTGAATCTAGAAGTCTTGAGCGATGGGTGGCCAGCAATCATTTCCCTCATTTCCCAAAGCTCAGGTACATATTCTTAAATCATTGTTATGCTCTACAAGAGATCCGTCCTGTAAGTGCAATAGAGCATCGGTGTTTGTCAATTTGGTTGGACCAATGTCATCCTTCTGCTGCCACTTCTGCCAGGAGGTATCAAGAAGAGATGGGGCGGCACAACAATTTTTGGCTTGTTGACATTATTGTTGACGGCAAGAATTTCTGAGTATGTTCCATCTGTTTCTCTTTCATTCTTTTGTTTATTTTCTTTGCAAAATCTGTTTAATATATTTTTTTCTCACCTGGTTTCATGTTCTTCGTTCCTTTTTACATTATTGATCCAATTGCTATGATGAAGCACAGCATACAGACACAGAAGAATCAGAAAAATAAGAAGAATGAGAAGAAGAAGACCAGGCGAATGTACTCCATAATAATATAGGAAGAAGAAGAAGAAGAGTATGATGAATGGCAGTATACAGATAAGGAAGAGTCAAGAAGAAGGATATGATGTATGAGGCTATCAGCTACATATGGCTTTTCCTTCCATTTTCAATATAATATAGAATTTCCCACCTTTTGGTTGTATATATTTAAACTTTTAAGTCATTGTCTATCTTCTATTTGCTGAGGCAAATTAACTTTTCTCATATAGTCATATTATCTACTACTTCGTATCAATTCTTAACTAAGAAAGTATCAATGGTTCATTTTTGTTTACATTGGTTCTCTTGTTGCAATCCTTGAAGAAGTTTGTAAAAAAAATTTAAAAAAAATGTTCTCCCAAATTTGTTGTCTATGCATCTCTGCCCACTACTATGTAGTGTGATGAAACCGTTGTTACCATTTGAAATGGGTAGTCACAGGATCGAACCCTAGTAGTGGGTTGGGGATATTGATTCTTTGGACTGAAAAGATTGAAAAAGTAAAATAGATACTACATTTTAAAAATTCATGAGTATTTCAAACAAAAAAATAAAATAAAAATTGTTCTATGTGCATCTCTGCAACTCCAAAAGTATTTTGAATGCTTTACAACATTGAGTAGTGATTGTCCTAGAGGTCTTTTTTTTTTTTATGTGTTTTATGTGTGCAGAGATCAGTGCAATACCAACACAATTAGAATACTGGTTTGTTTTAAACATCTGGATTCAACTTAACTTGTATTTGGAAAATTTAACTCTACTACCTTACCATGGTAATAGTATTCATGTAACACCCCTAATTTTTCAACAACTGAGCCTAGTACTAAACATAACCTTAAAGGTGATAAAATGGAATTAATATATTAATTACCCAACCACAAACAATTGGGAATGCTACTCTGTAGTTACCCTCGATAGAGCAACTACACGGGAAAAGCTAACTAAAATATCATGATCATAAGTCATAGACGAGGGCCCACATATCCCAAATCAGAGTCTAATTAAGCTCATATCCAAAAGAAAGGCTCCCAGGCCTTAAAAAAGAAAATATAAATAAAAGGTAAGAATGTAGACTTACCAAATAGTTGCTTTTCATCCACGAATTCCTTTTCCTTGAGTGTTTTGAAATCCATCAACCTATACATGTGCATTGGGAAATTTTTACCCTTGAACTCTTTGATGACTGTCTGATAGTTAAACTTTTTCATGAATTTGTGAGGACTGGTTTTGAAAGAGTAGAAATTTGTGATGACAACAAAGTTCATAACACCATAAACACTGCCTTCCATAAATGTCGTACGGAATTTATCAACAATCTCTTTAGGTATGTGGCCATGCAAGAATGTTCCCTGCATTTTTCAAAATCAAATTAGGATTGTGCACTTCGTTTTTTGCTGGACTGTAATAATTATATTCCTTAGTATATTTTCGAATGTAATTTTAAAAGGAATTACATATTCCTTCGCAGCTTTTCGAATGCCATTTTAAAAGGAATTACATATTCCTAGCCAGATTTTCGAATGTTATTTTAAAAGGAATTACCTGTTGGTTATGGAAGACAACTTCCTTCGATTTCATTATGGAAGAGGACCTCCTCTCTGGGATGTCATACACCCGGACAACTCGCAATCGCATTGCGTTTCTGTTATTCATTGGTGAAATATCTACAGCAAGAACGTACATTGTAATCGTCGTTGAGAAGCAATTTTGCAATGAGGGTGTTTGATTAGAAGATGGCAATTGGTTTAACTGGATAGTGCATTATATATAGTGTTTGATTAGAAGATTGCTCGGACTTGCGTTGGAAAACAAAAGGGTGCTCCATTAATAGCTATGGAATAATTATTTCCATACACGTTTTGTTGAAAAACGAAGAAACCAACTGGTTTATACTTAGTATTGTATTTTTATTGGTTTAAATTGATTCTGTATCCAAAAATTAAAGGAAACAATTTTTTTTTTGAAATTCCTTTGGAAACCGAATCGTTTTACACGGCATTTTATGCAAAAGACATAAATATTCTGTCTTGCTCTAAACGACGCCGTTCATTTTGGGCGAAAAGTTTTTGTGCTATGTCATTTTGCTTTATATATATATATATATATATATATATATATATATATATATATATATATATATATATATATATAGGGATGCACTCAGGTGCGAATAAGTGCCCACGAAGGAATATGCGAATGAATCAGCGCGCGACACGTGTCCAGATCTAATAGCTTAAAAAAACGCAGTGACATTTTCGTAAATAACTGAACATCGAAGTGCAAGTAAAATCACTTACAAGTGCACCTACTTTCACCTATAAGTGCATGTAATTTTGTCTTGTTAGCATTTTCTTCCCACAAACATTCATGCACTTGGGTGTGCTTATAAATATAGGTGCAACTATTTATAACTATAGGTGCAACTACGTATAACTATAGGTGCACCTACTTCCAACTATAAGTGCATGTAATTTTGCCTTGTTAACATTCATGATCTGAGTTCAGCGGGTAGTAATACCCTTGAAAACCACCTGCAAACGTTCATGCACCTAGGTGCAACTACTTATAACTATGTGTGCAACTACTTATAACTATATGTGCAACTACTTATAACTATAGGTGCGCTTAGTATTGATACTCGGTGTAAATTTTTACTTGCACCTATAATACATTTTACATGCACTTGTAATACATTTTACTTGCACTTCGATGTTCAATTATTTATGAAAATGCCACCGCGCTTTTTAAAAAAAAATCAGTGTTTCTCATCCATTAGATCTGGACAGGTGGACGAACAGAATTCATTCCTATTTCGCTCCTGGGCGAAGCATTCACACCTGATTTGTGGCTTCCTGTGCGGTTGTGCGGTAGATTAATGTGCGTGAGTCGCGTGCTTAATGTGCCTGAGATTTGTTCTTAATGTGCGTGAGTTTTGTACTTAATGTGCCTGGGTATTGTGCTCAATTTGCGTGAAGTTTGTGCTTAATGTGCCTGACTTTAGTTCAGAATTACGAGCTCAGAAGGAAGCAGAACAGAAAGAGAAGGTGGGTGAAGCTTTTCTGATTGTGTGTGAATGGATGGATATATGTAAACACACATATGGCTGTTTTGATTTTATGTTAAAAACAAGACAAAATCCATTCCTCCACCACTTCGAAACAAAAAACAAGAAGAAAATACAGCAGTGGATGAAGAACACACTCACACACATTAACATTACACACCCACGTACATTAAGTACAATACTCACGCACATTGAGTACAAACCTCACGCACATTAATCAACCGCACAACCGCACCAAACTTTTGTAGTCAAATTAATTGAATATACTTTATATTTTATTGGTCAAATACTTAATAAAACTTATTTGGTAAGCAAACGAAAAATGAAAATTTAGTAATATCAATATTATGAATTAATTAGGAATAAGATTAATTAGTAATATTAATATAATGAATTTATTAGGAATATCAATATAATGAATTGATTAGGGTAATGCGGTAATACCTTAAATAAATAAATACACTTTCTTTTTGAAAATTTTTACAAATTTATAATTATCATATTTTTCACCTATAAATACAGTGAGTTGATGACTACAAAAATTATAAGTCTTCATTTTATATTGCATCCCTTTTTTCCCACTAGGTCTTCATATTTGATCATTCAGTTTAGCAGCGTTTCGAAATTAACGGTAGGTTTAACATCCAAGTAGTTTGATTGGATTAGATACAATACGTTTTTCATGGTTGTATTGTCCAAATTTAATACTTTTTTCAACGAAAAGCTATTCACATCATATGCCTAGCTATATTATAATTTATTCTGAATATTTCTACGGTTACTCCAAGTACATTTCATATATTGATTTTTTGCTTTTATTGAAGTTTCATTATCATTTATGAAAGGCAGCCTCATGTGAATCTCGCTTTGAGAGTTGCCTACTCCTGCCCGTTTAAAGGGATGCTGAGTGCGGACTCCTCTAATCTCTCTCTTTATTTTTTTGCTATATTGTCATTGGTCAAGAATTTAAAGTGTCACACAATAAAATGTGTGACTCACGGGTGATTGAAGAATGGGGAGTGGTTAAGTTTCTGTTGTAATATACATTACAAGATATAGCAGGAATCGTCTTTAATACACCAATTGACTATTATTATATTCTTCTTAGTTCTTTGCGTTGATTATTGAAGTAATCGGACTTCTGAAGTTTTGATTTGTTAAGTTGTTTTATTCTCATGGTGCCGGTTTTAACAGTTATGAAGTCCATGCTCAATTCCTCATTGTATAGGTCAAAAGTGTATTTCTTTTTTCGCATAATTATGGGATCGCCATAATTACTCCATAGTAGTAGTAGTAATGATAATGATAATGATAATGATAATGATAATGATAATAATAATAATAATAATAATAATAATAATAATAATAATAATAATAATAATAATAATAATCGGTAATATTATTGTTCAAATATAATATGAAAAAAAATTAATTTTAATTTGGTAATCTATATTCTATATTAATCTATATTTATATTCTATATTAATTAATAAAAACAAATCCACCTTTACAAGTTTCCGCCTAAACAATTAATAATAATATGAAAAAATGAAAAAGAATGGAAGGAAGCCGTACGCCCAAACAATTAATAATAATATTGGGATGAAAAATAATAATAATATGGAAATATGGATAATAATGGAAGGAAATATTAGTCATGTGAATGTTTTCTACACTCTGAAAAATGGAAAAGAATCAATAAGCAGTATAAGAAAAATAATTATTAAGATATTTTAC